CTCTCATGCAGCTGAGAATATATGTTTTCAACTTCTACTGAGAGAACATTCTGCCAACCACTGCTTTGTATTAAAACCGGGGAAAAGACAACAGATGCATCAGCATGAGATAACAGAGCATGCAGTAGACAAATCACATGGAATCCTTTGGCATGTTTTGTCTAGGACAACATATCCTGTTTCGAAGCACTCGGAAGCCCTTTTCCTGCAATTTTTGATTAAATTTATTTGGCAGCAACTGAGCTGATTGGCTGTAATGTTGTAGAAAAGCTATGTAAAATAAAATAATTAATAATCAACCTCCATCACAGAAGTTCCTGACAAATCAGATTGCTCCCAAACTGTGACTTTACTGGTGGTTCATAGAATTTCCAAAGGTAGAATGGGAGGCAGAACTTTTAATGATCAGGCATCACCTGTGGAAAACAAATATTCAGTTTTAATCTATGAGATAGGCCCCATATCTTTTAAGAGTGATCTTAAAACGTTTTGAAAAAACTTGGATATAGAATAGCATAGTTTTTTTTTTTTTGTTGTTGTTATTCTGCTGTAAACTTTAGCTGCAGGAAAACATTTAGACAACTTTCCCTATGCAACTACATTGTAGTCTTCCCTTAGCTCTCTACTGTGCAGATATTTTTATATTTCATGGAAACATATCCCAGGACATTACAACTTTTTTCTTCTTTTTCCTTTATGCTTTTTTGGTATTATACACTCTTTTTATATTGTTGTCATATTTTTTCTATAATAGCATTTTGCTTGAACTTTCTGTACTCTATATGAGCTACTGGAACCAGAATTTCCCTGAAGGAGTAATCCCACAAGATAAATATAGTTGAGTCTAAGTCTAAGTCTACCCCTGCTACACTCTGCTTCTGTTCTCTAATTTTCAATTTAAAGGTGTTGTAGAGGATTTTCTTTTTCCGGGTAGATTGTCAAAATAAGTTGTTCTCCTAATTGTCAATCATTCTGATGATATGCTTACATAAGGCCGTCCTACATGCTTGTCCCTTTTCTTTCTCACCACAGTTCTTTGAAATGGCCGAGGATTGTAAGAGAAAACGTGTCTACGAAGTGCATGAGAAGAAGAGAAATGCCTCAAAAGAGAGAAACAAGACTGGAGTGTTTTTGGGAGATTATTTCATGCAATGGCATACATTGAAAGGACAGCGCGGGGTACCACTGATGCCTCAGTTGACATAATAGAAAAATTACAGATCTTCTTCGGAAAGCAAGCTTGTATGAGTTATGCAAACAGCAACTTGTGAACAGAGTGTGCACAAAGAGGAAAGGGCTCGTGCATGCTCACGCACTTGTTTCATAGGCATTCCCTCTCGGGAACAGGTTGTGCATGGCCATTTTTTTTTAAAGTGGAGAGGGTGCGTCTTTTCAAAAATTCGGGGAAATCCTCCAAAACACCTTTAACTTTTAAATCTATGTCCATGCCATTGTTTTTATCATAGCACAATTGATAGACTTACCAATTTGTTTCTTAAAACATACTTTAAGGTATTTAACATGAATTAGAAATGTGTTGACATCAGGGTCAGAAAGTTAGATTAGCCTTTTGGGTATAGAGAAGTTATCCTGAGTCAACCTATTCTGCTTTGTGATATTCAGGATTTTTTGTTTCAGAACAGGTTATATCAATCTACGGAGCCCCTCTTATGACATGGTCAAAAAATATGTTTAATTGTGGCCACGAAGTAGTATTTCGTGCGCACGAAGTAGTATTTCGCGGCCACGCAATAAGTATAACGTGCGCACGAAATACT